TTAGAGACACATCTGAATTGATGGCTGGTTGTAAGTCTTACTAAGTGCATGACCTAACAATTTAACCTTTCTGCTCATTCACTTTTTCCATCAGTAAAATGGAAATAGCAATACCTATCCCATAGGGTTATGGAGAAAATGAAATAATGTTACAACTATAAAGCACATAACATAGGAGACACTCAGGAGCAGGTAGCAGGTAGCTACCCTTCTCCACCTGCCTTCTCTCTCTCTTCCTCCCGTCCCCGCAAACCTTCTGGGAGAGGAGAGTGCTAGAAGAAGAGGGTAAGGAGCAGGGAAGAAAGAGATCAGGGGAGGAACTGGCCATGAAAACTGTTGAGGCACTCTTAGGTAAGAAGTAACAAGATCCCAAATTTGCATTCCAAAAAGCTATTTTTGGAAGAACTGTGCATAGGAAACTGATAGAAAGCCATTTTAATAATCTGGGAGAGAGGACTTGAAGGTACAGGTAACAGCACAGAATGGGAAGAACAAAGCTGGGTTGAGTGACATGGCGAGGTTCGGGGAGCAGGGTGTATTCTGGTATAGCTTCTTTCACTGCATCGTGGTTTTCCTTTCCACATGTCTGGAGGGCAAAGCACTCAGTGGTCTAATTAGGCCCGGAGGTCGGGCAGTCAGCTCCAGGAAGGAGGTGGAAGGGGACCTCTGCTATGGCTCTCCTGTCTCTAAAGTGCTTCCACAGAATTGCTTACCTCATCTCCATTCTCACTCACAGGAAGAGAAACATCAGAGAGCCGCTGCCCTTTTCCCTTGTCTGACTTTAAAGCACCTTCTTAAACTACTGCAGTCCCGAGGCAATTATCTCTTCACTACAATTTATTAACTCAGAGTAACCTCAAATGCATTACTTGTAAGCAGCTCAAGCCTTTCCTCTAAGGCTGGCCTGTGTCTGCTCTTTAGCAGGAATTCAGGGCCGGGTGGGTGCAGGCGGGCGGGGGAGCGCTCACCAAATCCGTGGAATCAGCTGCGTTACCTCCATCATCTGTCGCCAACCTTCCACTTGCCATAAAAAAGCCTGGAGCCTTTCTACCTGTTTCTTTCCCGTGTCATATTTGTCTTAATGGCCCTTTTATTGATGACCAAACTGAAAGGTGGAATAATTAGTACACACACCCCCCAAACCTCCTCCCTGACTCCCATCCCTGCTCCCCACACCCCTCAGAGAACTGATACCATGAAAAAGAAGGTTGTTATCTGGCTTCCAACCTCCTAACACAGGTGTGCCAGTCTCCAGTCAGAGGGAGGTGTTTTTTTCCCCCCATAACTTCATTTCACGCTGACTTTAGATCTAACTGCTATTTCACTTTTGCTCTTATTTCCTTTTAGAATATAGCCATCCATACATTTTGAAAATGTTTTCATTCTATCCACACATGGGTTTCTACATGATCTCTGAAGTCTAGTCCACATATGCAAAGCATTGTGGCTTCACATTTTTCATAAAATGATTGATCTTTGCCTTAACTACCTACGAAATAGCTATATGTGTCAGCCCAGATGAAAATGAGTGAAGAATTATTGGCAAAGCATTTCTACTTTTATCTGCAAAAAATAACTGTGTGCTTTGACTGCCTATATGAAAAAGAAACTGCTAACATAATTTACTTACACATGATACGGTTTTGAGTTTTTTTATTTAAATACTGAAAGCATCCTGAGAACTCACAGAGCCTCACAACAAACATTAGAACTGTGCTTGGATGCCTGATCTTCAGCACTGGGCACATAAAAGAAGCCTTTGGAAAACTCACATCTGAGTGCTTTCACCACTCAGAATCATAGAGTGGTTTTCTAAACATTGCTTGAGGCCAAACTGAATGGACTGTGTATTTAGGACATATTTATACGGGGTGCTTTTAGCAAAAAGGACAGAGTGTTATAGTCGCAGTAATACTACAGCTGTTTATTTTTGCGCAATATTTAAATCTGGTATTTCTTCCAGTTTTAGGTCTATCAATTATGCAACCAATCAGCTAATAATTTTGACCACCTGCTACATGGAAAATATTATGCTAGACACTTAGAAGGCTAACAGGCTCTAAAAACAAAACCTCCTATCAGCTGCCGTTATTGCCCTCCTGCCCATCGTGGGAGGACTGTTGTCTTATTCTCATTGTACATTCAGCTGAGTCTCCAGCAATTCAGAGTCAGGTTGAAGAGAATCACAGATGTTACTAAGATACGGAGTCTGTTACTAAAAAGGATAAGGTGGCTGCTAACATCCCTCATAGACATGTGGTGTCAGTGCAGTTTCTTCAGATCATTCTTGTTGCTGACTCAAAGTGGAGCTGTTTGCCCAGCAGCATCATGGCATCCTAGGTTAAAAAAACCCCACAGCTTGACCTTGGAACAGCTTGGGAGTCTGCCTGCTCTGCTGGCTCCAAACGAATAAAACAACTCTTCATCTCCTTTATTTGATTAGCTTCTTCAAACTTAAACTAAAGGAAGCTAAGATCCTCACGGACACTTGTTTAGGACAGAAATAAGATCAGTAAAAAAAATAAAGAAAATCATTCTACAAAGTCAATTGTGGAATTCACAAAACTCAGATACTCTGAAGTTAGTAGCTAACTGTAGAAGAATTATATTCAGGTAATTTAGAAAACTGCTTTTAACACTTTTAACACTGTCGACGTGGTTTTTTCAATAGTATTTGAAAACAGAACTCATGCTATGCAATCCTTTGTGGTAGCCATTCATCACATTATACATGGCTGTTACAGTTAACTAACATTAAACTAAATTCGGTTAAAATTAAAATCCAGTTCCTCAAAGAGAATTAACATCCAAGCACTTAATATTCACATGAGGTAACGGCTACTGTATTGGACAGTAAAGATAGAGAACATCCCCATCATCCAATACAACAGCCCTGCATTAAAATATCAACTCAAGGCAGGCATCTCAGACTCAAAATACTTCAGATTGTCTTTGCTTTTATGAATTTTTTTTCAAGTTTCCAATGAACTATGTCATTTAAAAAAAATTTGTGGAGTCCCCTACCTTGAGCCAAGTCAAGTAGTGGGGGCTCTGGTTGACCACCACGTCAACCTCATGGGGAAAATATAGGAATTATGATCATTAAGTATCAAGTGGGGTTGATTTAGTAACTTGTAAGTAAAACTCTGTTATGGAGAAGGTGTCAGAATAGGCCTCACCAAAAAGCATTTTGATTTATGTTACTCTATGTGTCCATCTATTTTTCAAGTCAGTGAGAAGCATTATTTGGCCTTGGTGATTAAATTACTACAATGAGCAGATTCCTGGCACCAGCTGAACCCTGAAATTAGGGAAAAAGAAACGGGAATTTTGTCCTTATTCTTGTCAGCTCAAATCCAGCCATAACTTTTTGCTGGTGCTACATTTAGATGAAGAAGTACTTTTAATTCAACCTTATCTTGTTATTTCACTATCCTTTTCCAGCAGTGATAAACTTTGTACAGAATTATAAATCAAGGCCAAATGTTGCATGAATGCTGTGGTTACAAAGATTCATTTAGTGTGCACACCGCCTTGCGATCTACAAGGTGATTCATCACTTGTGATCTTGTCCTCCCGCTGAGGAGTTGGAGGATGCATACTGATGTGCAGAAGTCATTGCTGGGTGTCTGGCCTGCAATGTCCTGCACGTTATCCTAGATCTAACTGATTCTTAACCCACTGACTACCGGGAGGGCTGCCATTCAGAATCAATCACCTAAATACGGTGAATTAATCTGGGAAAGCAATAAAATATGACATATGGCTTGCCCTACCTCCACTTTGGCTGTTGACAATTTGCCCAACACTATAGTTTAGATGTGACCTGATAAGAAAGACAGAGAACATAAGATGAGCGCCCACCAAGAGAAGAAAGAGTTACACTCTTCAAATTGCGTTCACGTACAGTGTCCCATTCGAGCCTCACGTCATTCTGTGCATGAGCAGGGAAGGTTTGGGTGTCACAAAAGGGGCAGCCCTCTTGAGGAGAATTGATCATTTTCCACCTACGTTCCTATTCCTACCTGTGTTCCTCCCCACGTGCCTCTGTTTGTAACTATTTGTATACGTGCCCGGATCTCTTACTAGATTTGAAGGTACCTGGAGTGGGGACCACGTTCATATTCATCTTGTTTTCCTGGCATCCAGCATGATGCCTGGTGTACGAGTTGTTCATTTGTCCTGAAGGGGAAAGGGGAATGTAACACAAAAGATCTGAAAGCTGGGCTGCGAGCACAGACAGACGGACGGACTAGCCGGTCACGGGTGGACACAGATGTGTGATGCTCTGTGTGGGCAGTGGTGTGTGCAAATTGCAGGCCTGCACCAAAGGGCTTGCTCTGTGTCAGCCTGGAGGTTCAAGGAAGAGACAGAGCTTAGGTGAGCAGCCCCCACAGACAACACGACCTTGTGTCTCTTGTGTTGAGTGCACAGTCCTAACTCACAAAACCTAGTGTGAAGTTGACTCTGTTGACACACATCATAACTCCCTTACAGGTCTTATATGTTGCATTCAGCTTTCCTCTTCTGAGCAATTGTTTTGGTATATTTAATGTTTTCACTTATATTTATCTTTAACATTACTCTTTTTTTTTTTGACGTGAAAGTAGATTTTATTGGTGGGCGTGAGTAGAAGGGTTCTTATGAGGGCAGGACTCACCATTTATCCAGAAGCCACAATTAGGGATGCATTCGATCCCTCAGCTCATCTGGGATGAGCCCCTTTTCTGCCACCGTGTCCTCCAATTCTACACTGAACTTAGTGGATCCCCACGTCTTGGAGACGGGGACTTCCTGGTGGCCAGGGAACTTGGTCTTGGTGCTTGTAGGGCCTGAATCACATGCTCCTTGTTCTGCACCTTGGCATGGATGGATGTGATGACTTGGCCAACGTGGACCCTGGCTGCTGTGTCTTGGGGCTTTCCAAAGTTACCCCGCATGCCTGTCTAGAGTCTGGACTGGGGACAGCATGAGGTCAGACATGAATGTCCACTGGGAAGGCCCAGCTCCAAGGTCTCTTAGGGAAACCCATACAAGAACCAGGCTGCACACACGACCGAGGAGGCTGCTGTGTGCAGCCATGGCACAGCGGGCTCCACGGGGAGAAGAGCATGGTGGGCTTAATTGGCTGCAAACTAACCTTCCTTTCATCTTTATATTTTACTCCCCTTTTGTGCTTCACTCCTTGTTTTAGTTTTCACATGCAAATGATCAATTCCCACTTTTGAATACCGTTTCAAATCTTGTTGGACTGGGGGCTTGTTTACTGTGTACAAGGCCTTTTCTCCCCTCTGGATCACAGGTTGATTCCTGGAAGGGGGTGAGGGAGTCCAAGGTTGTGCTCGCGTGCCAAGGGAAGCCTGCTGTGATGCTGGGAACTGAGGTGTGGGAATTGCCTGGCTTCTGGCTGGAGCTTCCTTCCCTCCCTCGTGTCTTCCCATGTGCAGATGTTCAGCGGCGAATAAGAGAAAGGACAATGGCCTTACTTGAAGCAGAGGTGGTGTGCCAACGTAAATTCAGATGTCACGAGAAAGTGTAACATGGCTGGGCTTTTCCGTAAGTGCAGCGTGAAAATCATTCTCACGTTGTGATGTGGGAAGCCATAGAAATGAGGTGGCGCATTTTTTCCTGCCTTGTGGCCCCATTGACTGTGGAGGCCACACTCAGGTTCTAGTAGATATGAAGGCCCTTAAGGGTTTAGCCTCAATAGACAAGGGGGAGCAGAGGGTGCATTTGAAAACAAAGAGTAATGTAACATAAGAACCTATAAGAAATTGTGTAGTAGAACTAGAGGGGTGGTAACAGTCAGGTTGCAGAGTAACAGGTAATCCCCAAATAAACCATGTCAATGTATTATTTTTATCACTGCATTAGAACAATTTTAAATTATGTGCATATGAGTAGGCAATAGTTTGGGGTATTTTAAAACAACCCTAATTAATGAAATTCAGTGAGATGCCTGGGCTTCTCCAGGGAAGATGGTTTTAAACCTCTTAAATAGGCTTTCAGATCTCATCTATTAGCTGTTTGCAAAGAGTTTCTTTGCTCTTGCGGTAACCTCACTATTGCACAGACAACCTTTTCAACTGAATGAAGAGTTGAAATTGGCAGAGAGAATGTGTGCAGTGAATAAACAGGTCAGTCATTTTTATGACAAGATCTTTATTCCGTGTAAGCTTCTCTCTTCCAAATAAAGTCCTGCTAGAAGAGTGGGCTTTTTGCACACCTTCTTATGAAGACCTCTTAGGATTTATATGAACCAGTTTATATTTGCAGTGTTTAGTTTGGCAGGACATTTGGGCGTTGCTGGGACACGGGCACTGCTTGGTTGTACTAGACTGTGCCTGCAGGGCAGTGTGACCAGCCCTGACCTAGGCTGCCCAGGACCCTACTCTGACTGACAGAACAGAAATCTTGGGACCAGTGGCTGTGCCCACCCAGCCCCCCTTCTCTGGACTGCTCTCTCTGCATGGCCAGAACTCCAGAATCCCCTGCCTAAGGGGCCCGCACAGCCCCTTCTGTGGATCTCTGCCCTGCAGGGTGGGCCACAGCCCGGGCCAAGGGCGAGGGTGTGGACAAACAGGCTGGGCTGTCCACCTGGGCTGGGACAGCTGCATGAGGGGGCGTATGAAGCTCTTTACAGGGACCAAAGGAGTAGGGGTTGGAAAAGTGGGGAGCTTTCCATGAAGATTAGGCCTGAGCTTGTCCTGGACCCACGTCCACTAAACGGAAGTGGCACCGTTATCATTTGTTACGATCAGATCACTTTTGCAAGTTTCTGAAATGCCCTCTAAGAAGTAACAGTGCTACTGTTCTAAGTGAGAAGATTGATTATCTTTTCTAACAGATAAACTTTCTCTACAAATGACATCAAACAAACCCCAGAGATGTTTTGTGCTATGACGACATCAGTAGAATAAAAGTGTGTAATTTTCAAAAGTGCTAACTCTGAGGAAAAACTCATCAACATGTGTAAGATCTGATGTGCTTGGAAAAAAACAGCCAGTTTTAGACCAAATAGCTTTTCAACGGAAAGAAAAAAAAAGTTACTGTAGATTGGGATTATTAATGAAATTTTTATCATGTAAAATAATGCTGTATGATGTACTCAGCCAAGAGTCAGCAAAACTGCACTCAAGTTCCAGCATTTCTATGAAATAGCTGAATTATTTGGGCCTCGACCTCTTTGGGTCTCAGTGTTGACATCTGGTCAATGAGAGAGGTTGAACAAGAGGCCCTCTAAGCTTTTGTCGGTATTTAAAAGTCCAGGATTTTTGCCACAAGCTGTGTTCTCTCAGTTTGATATACGACATAGGATAATCATCAAACCAGACACCATCAATTGTAAGATGCACCATTAATCTGTGTACCATTAAAGAAAGAGACACATTGCCTATCGTAATTTTCAGACTACTGACTGTAAGAAGCATTCTAATTTAGCGATGTAAAAATACAAAAAGGGTATATTAAATCTCTAATATACAGTAAATCTTATTCATCTAAACATTCTTCACAGAGTCTTGCAGAGTACCTACCACATCTAGTCATTCATTTATTCATTTAATAAAAAACCATAAATTTAGGGCCTACCGTATTTCAGGCAATACAGCAGGCACGTGTCAACATGTATTGAATAGGAGAATTTTAGATGTATTTCATAACAGCAGCATGCACATGAAGCTAGTGATGCTGGTGAGAAATTAGCTCAGGAAAACAGCAAGATGTCCTCTTTTGAGGACAGCAAAGTCACCAAAAACTTTATCTCTAGTGTGGACATTCGTACTAATAAACGGAAGGCAGGTAAACAAGAATTCCCGGATCAGTTTCTTAGTAATCAAGGTACCCTGGTTGCTCTTTCCCCATGTCTATGAAAATCCTGCTGAAAGAAAGACTTCCTAATTCCATGACTCTCAAGTGCTCCTTCATCTGTCATTTCTTTTCCAGTAGAAATAAGGCAAGGAATGAGTGTTCTAAGAAACACTTCTATACTGTATCATATAAAACAATTTTATGTGACTTATTATCATGCTACATTGTTAGACTGATTTATATACACTTAAATCTTTATATATCCACTTGTGTCTAATAGTACCCCAAGCACAGATAAGCCCTTAAGGTAATATTTTGTAAGGAATGACACTTCCCTAGTGGGCTTATTCTCAGAATCAGAATCTTGAGTGCACCAGACAAGCGACAAGGTTCATTCAGCCCCAATATCTTCATCAAGAAGGGTTGTCCTGGGACCTTAGGAAGATGGAAAACTAATTAGTTGAAAATGCTTGGACCCACTGTATATAATGATAACCATATGCAGTGATTTTAAGCCTCATTATATACAACAAACAATGATGTTCTATTCATCATCAAGAAGAAACTGGCAAATCCTTGCAGCCAGGAGTGAGTGAGAACAGTTTCTGTTCTTATTCTGTTTGAATTCCCTTCTTGAGCTGTGCTTGCCACATGGGATATTTGACTATTTCTAATTGGCCTTTGCTTTCAGTCTCTGTTCAAAGTTTGTTTGAAGTACAACATATTCTCATTAACCTCGTTTCCAAAGGGGTCCCTTTTCCAGCTCATCCCTAGAATGGCTTCTCTCTGGGTTCACAGGCTCTGGCTTCCTGTTTCTCTTGGTTCTGAGCACACTGTGTTTTCTGATCAGTTAAATCTCTTCTCCAAACTGAGATGAAGAGAGGAATCCCACATTCTGCTCTCTGGAAGTAAACTGGGCAAAACAGCTGTGAGGACACTTCCTGAGTCACGATTCAAAAGTTACTGCAGGCAGGATGCTCAAGAGTTTCTGTGCTTACCCAGTTATGCTGTCTTCACCTTTGTGTGAGCTATACAAGGATAAAATTTTATCATTGGTTGAATACGTTGCTTAGGGCCATTTCTATCAAATCTGAGCATCAGCTCATGGTCAGAAACTTAACCCACACAGACACACATACACACTTAAATCAGTTTCCAAGTTTCCACTTATATCATCTCGACCTGTGATACCCTTTCCAGAAACATCATTGTAAGAGTAAGAATGGTCTGTATTGGTTTCTCTCCTCTATAAATGTCATTGAGCAGTAGCTTTCCTGAGGAATCCTAATCCGTATGACTATATTTTAGATATGAATTTCTCCCCAGTGGTCCTTTGGCTATGGAGAAATTAGCATGGACTATAAAACAGAGTGCTTGAAAGAGTCTCCTTGAGGGAAATGGGGAAGCAAGAGGGAAAGAGATTTATGCTTTTCATTTAGTTGCGACACTTATTTTATGCAGTTTTATATTATTAGGCTCCTTAAAGGACAAGAATGTGAAATATGTCCTCCCTGAAGACAATTCTTCATGTTTGCCTGACATTTTCTGCTTTGAATAAACCAGTCACAAGGAAGAGTCCCCTGTGTATGTACTCCAGTGCTCTGAGTGTTTATCTCAAGGACTCCCCGTTTTCCCCACAGCCCCTAAACAGCTGAAACTGTGTGGTCCTGCAAGCGTTAAGTACATAACCAGTGTCCTCTCTGGACAGTCCGTTTCTGAAAATTCCCTTTGAAATCAAAGACAAAAAAGCCCAACCTATTGGTGGATTCCAACTTGTAAGCTTCCCTCACAAACCACAGACCCCAGTCTTTGTATTTATTCAGTCTGACCAAGTCTCAGGAGATTTCTGGGAGTAGAATGTATCTGAGAATGTGAGTGTGTGCCAGGCAAGGAGGTTCTTTAATGAGAAATCTCATCACAAACATTTTTTAATGCACTTCAGCTTAACCTAGACACAGTAGACTGGGTTTTGTATTCCTTGGCAATATGCCCAGTACGTATAACTTAAATACACGCATATATATATATGTGTGTGTGTATATATATGATACATGTATTTATTCAGGGTTCAAAAGAATTTTGAGAAAAATCCTTGAACTAGGAACAAGATGAGCATTTGATGCCCAGTGGATTCACACCTAAATCTGGTGGTTCTCTTTCTATCCGTATTCATCAGAAGCTGTTATTAAACTAGGTGCTGTGAGCAAACACATTCTAAGTCCCTCTGGTGGGGTGTGACAGGCAGAGGGACGGTGGAGTTTCATAACAGAATTTTTAAGTATTGCCCTGTTGTACTTAAAATGATATCCTTTAAAGGGGAATTAA